AAAAAACTCAAAACAAAACCCAAAGCCAAACCCAACCAACCAAAAAAAAAAACCAAAACCAAACAAACAAACAAACAAATATCACGTCTATTTCACGCACAAAATCTACACACTACCTTGATGAATGTGTTATACAAGCTTAGGATCAGTTATGGGTGGATGAGGACTCTCAGTTTGACCTAGCTGGCTAGAGTTCAGTTCTATATCCTTACTGAATTTATCTGTCTACATTATTCATCTGTCCCTTTACAGTGTCTACTGAGCAATACAAGAAAAATGTGGAAAACTAAATGCAGACATAATTTTATTTGACACAGTTTATACATGGTTAGATATTATATACATTGGTACATGACAGACGGCCATAGTAAAACTGGGATTGTACACTGATATTAGTTGTTATTTTCCTTTGGGACCTTTCTGTGCACATAAAAGCTTAAATACTTCAAGGACAGTCAAATCTAGGACACCTTTAGGGACGGGTAACTGTAAAGCTTGCATGGCAATCTGCTGTCCTCTCATTGCTTCTGGGCACCCATATGCACATGGTGCACATATGTATAAGCAGGCAAATACTTTTATATATAAAATAAAAATAAAACAAATGAGAAGATAATACCTATACACAGTGCAGTTAGATACAAAACCTTATATACATAATTCTACATACTTATAAACAATCTCTAGAGAAAATCCCTATAATTCATTTGTCTAGATAGGATAATAAAAAAAAATAAAAAGATTTTTATTTCTCAGCTGCAAATGGTGAAAATGTACATGGACGATGATGAAGTCTAAGGTACTTGTTACGTTAGAGATATTTAACTTTGCTCCATGCCGGCCATGAGGGACAGCGCTAGAGATTCCACTGTGGGAAGAATAAAAAAAAAGGTTAAAAATTAATTCTAAATTTGTTTAAATGTTTAATTAAGGCAGTGAATGCAAAACTTAAAGTGTTTAAAGATCTACTATAGTTTTAATTAAAACCATCATTTGCTATTATAAATGGCACTTCAGAGTTTTAAATGTTGACTCATTTCACTGAAGCAGCACAACCCAGGAGAGCTCCTAATGCAGTATCGTATTCTAATCTATGGGCGAACATGAACAAATGCATAAATGTTACCGCCTAAGCAGGCAGATCACAGCTCACATCTGGCTGTGTTTAGCACTGTATTGCGGTCAGAGTACACACAAATGGAGAAGAGATTCAAAGTACATACGGTCTTTACTAAAAAAAGGGGAGAGCGTGGATGCAGACACCACTCAGTCTGTCTCCACAGCCTGAAGCCTCCTCAACCATTCTCAGAAATCGCTCAGCTCCCTCACACCCTAGATTCTGAACTGTAAAATCCATACTTCTTTGCAAGAAGACAGTCTTTTAAGTTCTGAAATTGCTAAGGGTCTGTATCTTACAGTGGCTTTGCATGACAGTCAGGAGTGAGAAACTGACTCTCCAAGTCCTACATTTCCATGTTAGGAACCCACGGGAATAAAAGGCACACAAACGAGCAGGACCTTCAGGTTAGTGCCAGCCATCTGGTACTTACCCACCCCATCACAGTTCTGCAACACCAATTCAAACCATGGCTTAGTACTTCCCAGTTTTGAAATGGGAGAAATGCAAACTCTCCATGGGACTAGTAACAGCTGCTGACACACAGATTTAGTTACAATAAGATTATGACACAGTGACTACATAGGACGGTGTACTCACAATGGGGAAAGGATCCTCTACAGACAGCCTTATTTAAAATGGTTACGAGGAACATGTGGCAGTTTTTAAAATCAGATTCCATTTTCTCTATAGACTCCATCCTAAGGAAGAAAGGAAATTTTGATTTATAATAAATTCAGTGAAACTAGTAATAGACAGGTTTCTATAATCCTAAACCTAAAGATTATGAAATATGCAACATCATAGTCTACATTAGTTTGCATTAGTTTTTCACAGACAAGGTCTCATTATGTTGGCTAGGACTGACAGGAACTTAAAATCTTAATGCCTTAGCTCCTAGGCTTCTGGAACTCCATCCTGCCTTTCTTTAATATGAAAAGTCCTTAGGGGCTGTCACTTGCCTCATGTGTGATGCCCTGGGTGCTCTCCTGAGCCACATGAAACTGGGTGTGGTACACTTTAGTCCCAAGCTCTCGAGAGGCAGAGGCAGGCTGGAGAGGGCTCAGCAGTTAAGAGCAGTAGTAGCTGCTCTTACAGAGGACCCAGGCTTTTCTCAGCACCCACATGTAATTGCAGGACTCTTTTCTGCCCTCACAGGCACAGCATGGAGACAGTGCTCAGACGTGCATATAGGCCAGACTCCCATACACATAATGTAAAACAAATAAGCCTTCCAAAGTTCAAGATCACCCCCAGTTACACGCAAATCTGAAACTAGCCTTGGCTACATGAGACATTGCCTCAAAAAATAAGTCCCTAGGAAAGATTCAGTTAAGATATAAAATCAACCATTTTCTGGTTAGCACTTAATTCTGAAGCCTTGACTAGAGATATTCCCTTTTCCTTTATTTAGTTCTGAATATGTATTTTTACAAACAAATATTATTTATAAAGTAAAGCATACACTTACGATATAAAACTCTTAAAATGTGAAATAATTAAGAGACCTTTAGAAAATGGTGAAGTACGTAGCACATAAGATGCTCCATTTTAGCTATTTATTTTCAGTGTGAAACTCACAGGCAGTAATTATGCTTAGTGTTACACAACTATCATATTTCAGGAATGTTTTGTCTATGTGCTTGTATTTGCCTGTGTGGGTGAACATGGGCATAAGTGTTCACATGATGTGGGAGTCAAAGGTTAACCACTAGTGTTATTCCTCAGCACTGTCTGGTTTGGTTATTTTTGTTTTTCCCTCCAGGACAGAGTTCCATTGTATAGCCCTGGCCATCCTGGAACTGTCTCTGTAGACCAGGCTGGCTTCGAATTCGGAGATTTGCCTGCCTGTCTCTGCCTCCTGAGTGCTGGGATTAAGGAAATGAG